CTGCCTCCCAGTCGGGTCAGCTGCTGTCAGCCAAGGCCCAACGCTGGCAATGAGCACATGAGCATCTGCCTGTTGGGCTGCAGGTTCCTCTGGACACCTCTTGCAGTGGGGGCCAGGCAGGAGAGGGACAGCACCTGCCCTGGCAGAGGTGGTCACCCTGTTCATATGCCTGAGGAAAACTAACACATACTTCCCTTGGTCTGCTGTGTAGTATATCATGCAAAAGTATGAGCTGCCAGATCACAACAGACCCAGAACTAGCCAGAGAAGGGGGCTCTCCTGTCCTGCCTGCCTGCCTCTCTCCACAGAACTTATTTTCACAAAAACATAGATCTGGTCAACTGTTATAATTTCAAGCAAGGACCTCCTGTCGTGCAAACACAGCCTCCCATAACAAAATTGACAACACTATCCATTTTCTAATCATCTCCTCCAAAAGATCTGCATGTTCTGCCCTCCCAGACTGGTGCCAAATTGTTCCAAATATAGTCTCCTTTGCTCTGTTTATTCTTTTTCATATATCACAAGAACATAAAGCATTTCTCCCTTCTGCTCTGAAAGACAGCTTCATAGACTAACAAGTGGCATCTCCAACTGATTAGATGGACAGACAGACAAGTAGGATCAACCATGATGTCTCACTATAAGTGCTCCTAGAATTCAAGATAACATTTTTCTCCATTTTAATGGAGATCTTGAAAAATAGTCTTCTACTTTCAGATGAACAAGTTGCACCATGTTAAAAATTCCTATTCCTCCACAGCTGCTAACTTTCTTTTAAGTATATACTGTAAAGTTTTCTCTAATGCAATTTCTTGACTTGCTGGAACTGAATTAAAATGGTACAGTGGTAGACATGACACTAAATTTGGAAAATCTGGAGAATTTCAATTTCAATAGACCTGAAATACTTTTGAGCCCCATACTAATTATTTTATGTCAAGTGAACACTTTTTTAAAAAAAACTAATTTGAAATTAAATTAACTTTGAAAGTCAAATATTGAAGTGATTCATTCTGAAAATATTCTGAAGCATTTTGAACTCTTTTGATACTGCCTTCATATTTTTTATATTAAATAATTTGCCACATTGAACTTGGATATGTGAACGATTGTGCTTCTCTCAAAAGCATATTTAAAAAAAAAAAAAAAAAGAATCCCATGCAGACAAAACATGCCCAGCTCTACCTGGTGTTTCCTTGTGCACAATGCACACCATCCCTCTGGCACTGGCAAGCTTAATTAATATTCCTTTCTACCCCCATCCTCTCCTCACCTCCTACATGACCCCTGTCAAAACATATGCTGTAGGTGTAAGGAACATGCAGCAGCCCCCTAACACTACACGGCGAGGGAAAGTCTTCCTTCAGGGCAAAATTTACTCATCTCCTTTTAAAGACAGCTAAGAAATGATTTCAAAGTTATTTAGAGCAATGTTTGCTTCAAAAGAACACACACAATGGTGGCTTTCCTAGCTCAAGACGCATTGCAGAAAGGCTGTAAACTTAGTGCAAAGACATGTCCATGGAAGTGCAGTTTGGAGGCAGAATGGGACCCTTCTCAGGTTTGTCAAAGGTATTGACAAAAAAAAAGGTATTTTGACAAATGCCTTTGAGCTACAGGGGAGGCTCTTCAACAGTAACACCAGCTCATGTCCTCAGTGGTAGAACTGAGGGGGTGATGCATCCCCTTTTTATGAGCATTTCTCCACCCCTGTGGTTTCCCAGGCTGCCACTGCAGCAGCTGCCCTCCCCAGCCAGTCTTCCCACCATGGGGTAGGAAACTGGGACAACACAGCACACGAGTGTGATGGAGGGAAAGCCAGAAACCAAGCCACGGTTTCCTAATGTAGTCTGAATGGTTGAATCTCTGGAACTGCCTGAGCCTACACCAACGTAGCTGCCATCATGGGCATGAAGGAGGTAATGCACAATTTACTACACCAGTAAAAGAGATTTTCTGTAACTGACCTTTTTTAGATTATCCAATACAGGTTAAAAATGAGAAGGAATGAGAATGAATATGTTTAACTAACATACTTTAAGGACATTATGCAGATCCAGCTTGCATTTAAATACATCCTTTCCCACAGTAAACATCTGTTTTTATAGTAAGGACAGGAAGAACAATTACAACATCCAGCCTGACTTCCTCTGTAACACAAGCCTTTTTCTGTCAGACATTCCTGTGATTAACTAAGATTGTGTTTAATTAAAATAAATCTTCTGGGAAGCTGCCCATTCTTGATTTGAAAAATTCAAGGGATGCAGGATCTACCATCTCCCATGGTAGTTTGCCCTGATTTTTGCTAAAATATTGCCCTGCCTACACAGAATAGCTTTGAAATATGCCAGTTTGATCACCTCAGGGGCTACCAAGACATTTGCACGTTCTGCCATAGCAAGAGAGAGAGAGCAGAATACAGAGCCAAGGTCCTCAAGTTATTTACTGCTCAGACCAGGTCGCTGCTACGAGCGGTCTCAAGATTTGCCCAACAGCAGATGGTGTTGTCCAAGTGTTTCATCCTAGTGGCCATGTCAGAAGGCTGTCCCCAGGGGGGTACCAGGTGACAGGGAATCAGTTAGCAGAGTTTCTAAACTCCTCTTCCTCACCCCCACGGCTGTGCCACAACCTCTGCAGATCTTGGCAAAGCAGGTACAGCACTGCTCACTTGCATTGATGAACATTTCTAAAGTGTGCCAAGACATATGGCTCTGAATGCATGCTAAAAATGTCACTGAGAGGTTTGTCCCAATCCCTTATCTTAGACTGAGCTAGTAAAGACTGTAGCTGAAGGAAGTTCTCAGCATGGAAGAGTTTCTATCTCATCTGCTGCCAAAGTTACCTGGAGTTGTCTGTCTACACAGCGACACAGCACGAAGCTGGAGGGATGAAAGGCAGCTGGACCACTGTGGGCAAGTGTCCTATTACACTGATCTCAAAAGACAAACAGCATTTTGCCATTGAAGATCTACCAGTCTCTCCTTCCATCACACCTCATTAATGATGAAACTTCAACAAGGCCAACTGAGGAGTACTTCCAAAAGAAGACACTGTTTCCCAAATGAAAGACACTGTTCATTGCAAAATGGTTGTGGGAGGAGAAAACAGTCAGTACTACGGATTAAAATAGGAAAGCAGGTATGAGTGCAGAGCACAGCTCATTTAGCAATGTCTCTGTCACATGGATGGAGAGCACTACTTCTCTGCTCCAGCTGGTCCCACCAACAGGACTACCTGAGACATGAGGAGCCACCACTGTTTGATTAACACACAGGCTAAAAGAATACTCATTGTCCTCTCCACTTGATAATGCAGTGTCCCACTCACCTCCTGAGGTCAATGCAAATAGCAGGAGACTGAAGGTGATGGCTCTTTTTCTGATGGAGCTCCGTAAGCCTAGCAGACCTTGGAGCTGAGCACCAACATGAACACCTCTGCTGCTCCCACCACCTGCACCACCATAAAACTTTCATACTTTCAGCACACATACTTCTCAGCTTCAGTTCCTCTTGCCAAAACCCTCACTTCCCATGAGAGAACCCAGTGGTGTCTTAGGTGAATACAACAGGAGTTTGTAACAGCCTGAACTGTGTGATGGTCCCAAAGAGCCACGTCAGCAGGGTTTGACCACACCAACAGATGGGTGCAAATGCTTATGTGGATGAGCTGGGGCCCCAGCTCCCGCTTTAACCTCCTCACACCTGATATTTAAATTTCTTTGCACTCTCAGCTCATCTGAGGGGCCATCACATGGAAGCCTAAGGTATTGGATGAATTTCACAGGTCACCAGTGCACCTGCTCCAGGAAAGATTTGGTCCAACACAACTAGGGTAAATACTCTCTAACTCATTTTCTAACAGGTTAAAACACTCTTGCTGCAGCCTGAGAAGAAGCTGCGACAACACATGGGAGAATCCAGCAGCTAACGTGGCTGCTCTCGGCGTGCAAGCTGAACAAAACACAAGAGGTCAACAAACTATCTAAATAATGAGGGAAAGTGCATTAGGTCAGTATAGCTCATTCTAACTAAGTGTAATTAGCAGGAGAAGGAAGAAAAAATTAGCTCACCAATAATCTTTCACAATGTCCTTTCAAGTGTTCAGGGACATTTAATTTTGTGGAAAAGTTTCAACCAATATAAATATGCCAAATATAATCTTCAGTGTCCTTACCTACTTGTACAAGCAACCTGAGTCACATGCTGCTTGGGACTCTCATAAATTTATACTATAAACCCACTTAAATCTGTGCATAAAAAGTAATATACATCATACCCAAGAAAATGGTCATTCTGGGCTACTTGGCAGTTTGAGGAGCTGCAAGTTTTTAAACTTAAAGATGTATCTGGTAGAAAGTCTTTAATGTACTCACTTGTCCTCCTAGTGATGTCTTAAATTATTCAAAGATGCTCAAATACAACAATATTTGTTCGACTGATGCTCTTGCTTAATGTTTCTTCATTTCATAGGTAGAGGTTTGTTTAAATAAAGCACAACTGTTTCTATTTGAATTTTAAAATCATTGTGAAAATCTGTCTTTTCATATTAGGTTATTATTCCCTTCTTTAGAGCTGGGGAAGGTTTTTTTACAAATTATCACATTTGCCAAAAATGCGTTTGTAGATAATTTGGGGGCAAAATTATTTGAAAATTCAGCTAGAACTTGAAAATTACTTTGACAAAAAACAGAAAGACTTTGGAAATGCTGGAAGTCCTTACTAGGTAATTCCTGGAATAAAATGCAAGTTGTGGGACATTTTAGTTTAGAATAATTGTAAAAAAAAAAAAATAATCCAAAGTGCTTCCTTTGAAGCTAAGCCAAAGTTGCTGCTTTTTGCAGATTACTTTAGATTGCTCAGAAAAAGGACAGTTTTATTTTCTACGATCAGTTGAAGATGATGTTTTTCTTTTGTGCAGTTTTCTGAGCTGAACAGCAATACAGTTACATACATGACCTGTATGTATACATACATAATCATTCACAATTTTCTGAACAGAACTAAAATGATGAATCTGGACTGCACACTTGCACTGTAGTGGGACAATGTGCCAAAATATTCTGAAACAGCAAAGGCAGTGAGCTTTTCTAAGCATCTCTCTGTGTGTACATACTGGTACTGCTCGTTGTCCAGAAATAGCCAAACCAGATTTCTAAAGATCTTCCAGATCAAAGAATTTGATCCAAGGGAGGAAGGGTCACCCCCCCAAATTTTTGATCGGTGCTTCTCTCAGTGACAACACATTGTTCATGACCTGGGATATATTGAACTAATGCAACTCTCAAAAAGCTCCCCTATGAATACAGAGTGGTCACAGTAAAGAGATTTCCAGTCAAGCCTGTGAAGAGAAACAACTGGTGCTGCTCCCAGCCAAAGTACTCACCAATAATTCCATGGGAGATATCTTACTACTTCTTTAAAAAGAAGACTAAACAGAAAACACAAGGCCACACAAAATTGACTTCTCCATGTCGATACAACAACCCTCCCCCTCTAGAATGAGTGTGGGCCCATAACAGCAAGCAGCAACCATGCATAGCAGTGAAGAGATTTCATCCGGAGCATCTGGAAAGTACATGATCCTTCTAGTAGAGCCCAGGAGGTATGGCGTTAGTGACAGTGACACCACAGATACCTCTTCCTCTCTTTGAGTGTCCGTTCGTGTTGATGTGGGTTGTGTCTTTGTGTTCTGGATGGGAATTGTGTGCTGGTATGGCAACACCAGGAGCAAAGTGTTTCTTGACTGCTGGAGCTCCTCAGGCCTGGTAGCCAAAAGCTGATGCTCTCTCTCTGAGCAGCTCTCGGCACAAATGACAACTCCAGCTCCCTGCAAATGAAGAAATCGTTCTTATAGGAACGACATCAAATCCAGGCACTCAGAGTTTGTGTCAAGATCAGCTGGAATAGGATATCAAATATTCCTAACTTTGGAATTGCCTGTATTTTTCTGAAGCAGGCTCTGCTGCCCTCGGCAGTACGTACGTAGGCTTTCTACACAAGTCACATCAGGGCTGGGGTGTGCATTGCCACTGGGTGTTTTATATTTCCATGCTTCCAATACACCACTTCCCAGTCAAACAGAAACCTTTAGCTCATTATTAGCAGCATTTCAGATTTTTCCCCTCTGCATTTAGTTTCCTCTTCATCAAAGTTACAAACAATTAGCTCCTGAATTTATGATTGATTTGTAATTATTCTTGTCTCGCCCCTCATGTAAACCACAGTCATTCACACTTGAGTGTCTCCTTCTCCAGTTCTACTGCTCTCTGCAGATTTTAGTCAGACAATCAATAATGGTTCCTCTGCTCCACAACCAAGTGACAAAGTACAACCAGTTGTAGATTGAATCTCCTGCAGAGGACACAGCTACATACCAAATGTAATACAGACCACAAAACTCTCACCCTTCCAAGGCACAGACAGATCAGAGAGCAAGGAAGGTCATTCCCCTCAATCTAGTCTCCTGACAATAGATGCTCAGCTATTCCAGAGAGGACCTCCCTGTCTGGGGCTTTCTCTCTGGGACTTTGACTTCTTAAGAAGTCCGAAGTCACAGTTCACAGGAGCTCAATTCACCTGACTAAATTGAGGTGCCCAATGCCATCTGGGACATCCACAGGTACCTATGACCTGCAAAAGAGCCATGTTCTGGAAGAGGAGGTAGAGATAAGGCAAGGTTGAATACAACATTTCAGAGCACACTAGGCCTCCACATCTATTAATTTTCTTTTTTTTCCAGTGCTACCTGCCTCTGCTTTGCCACTGCTCCCTTAACCCTGCATGGCCCAGGCTAACTTTCTGAAATTCTTCCCATCTCCACAAGGACTTTATTGTGATTTTCAAAGCAGATTTCCAACACGTGTTACCTTCTGGGGGCTCAAAGACTGGTGGATTCAAGCAATACATGTGATAGCCACGGTCACAGTCATCACAGAAGAGCAGCTGGTCCTGAGACAGGGTTGTTGGGAAAACAGCAGAGAAACAGAGAGAGAAAGAGAGGAGAAGAGAGAAAATGATGTAAATTAGTCTCCTGCCAAGATGAAAACATAAGCATGGTAACCAGCAGTGCTCAGCTAGGAAAGCAGAGCTGCAACTTAGAGACTGAAAGACTATTTGGAACATAGAAGACTACAGGTATCACGTTTGTGCATCCATGATCAACCATAGTATTCCTGAGAGGCTGCAGAGAGCCCTTCTCATCACAAAGGCAGTTCAGTTTCAAACTAGAAACTCTCTCTGAGAGGTGCAGGACTTCCTCTCCAAGGTGCCCTGATGATGCAGGAGTAAAAACTGTTAAGTTAGGATATGCTGCACTGAAAGAAGAGGACATATTTTGCTGGGCTCCAATGTGACCACGTGCTGGATCTCAACCCTTCAGGGGAAACCTTTCTTTGTCAAAAGTCTGGACTTAGCCAGGTCTCCAAAACTCGGCTGAGTAAATGCTCTGTGAAACAGATGGAGATGGCATGATCCCACCATGATGTCTGCAGCCCTTTCATATATATTTTTTGGGAAAAGCTAAAGTATCTTGTGATTCCTAACACAGAACAGTTCCCTGTTTGTAGATATCTTTGTTTCTTGGTTAAAAAAAAAATAAATCAGCATTCATATTTATTTTGGTACAGGAAATATAGCGTTAGCTAATTGCCTCCAAAGTTCTCCAGCCACTGTCAATCCTCCAAGTTTCTCACGGACTACCAAGGACCCTTAGCATCAGATGTCAACTGAAAACCCTGCAGAGAGGATAATGCTCAGCTGCAGGCTCTGGATCACGGTTTGGAAACCACTGGGATAGGTGATTAGGTGGCTAGAGAGGCCCAGCCATCCCAGCTCAAACGCCTTCATGTTCCCCAAGTCTTGTAATTAAGAGTAAAAAGTCATGCCAAGAAAGTAAACATAACCAGGGACAGAAGAAACATACCTGCCATCTCTTGGGTGGTGACCCACTCACATCTACTCCTGGCTACCATATTAAAAATATCACTCTCACAGCTCCCTGTGACACCAGTTTATGGCCTCCAGCTAATTTCTCCTGAGTAGGTATGCAAACCACAGGTCTCACTATCTTAAGTGGCCCTATATGATACCTGTGGCAATTTCAGCAGAGATGGACACCCATCTTTGCTTTCAGGAGTGGCTCTTCCTCGGAGATGTATGGAAGCAGCAGCAAAGCCATGACCCACACCATTGCCACGTGCTCAGGTAAATGAAGGTTTAGGTAAATGAACTCACATCGTTCTCAGAGGTCCCACAGAGGCTGCAGGATTTGCACTCAATGCACTGCCACTGATAGGTTTTAACAGCCTCAGTCATGTTTGTGGTGAACTGCAGGCAGGTCGGGTGTCCTGAGGAAGATGGGAAACAACTGTCATTGTTAAGGCTCACTTATTGCTTGTTAATTAACCGGTGTTCAGTTTGGGAACAAAACGCACATGGACATGGACTGATCACGACATGGGCTGCAACTAACAGATACCAAAGAGGAAAGCAGGCATTAACCCTTTCGCTGCCGGGCACAAGAGAAAATCAGAGTCATCCCCACCCCTTCCCCATTGGCAAAGCAGTTTTATTCAGAGCTCTTAAAAATGGTTTGGGTTTCTTGTTTGGTTTGGTTTCTTGGGGTTTTTTGTTTGTTTGTTTTTGGTTGTTTTTTTTTTTTTTTCTGGGGCTTTTTTTTGTTTGGAAAGAATACAAGAGAGAGGATGAAATCAGGAACAAACCCAATTTCAGAGAGACCCCATCCGTCTTAACAGAAATTAGACTACAGTTTCAATCAGTGTGTTGTTTTGACTGGACTGAAGGACCTGGTGGAAATTAGGTTATTCTCCATTTCAGAGCTTCCCTTCCTGGTGTCCAAATAGGTGGAGCAATTCTGCAAGCTTTGCTTAAACGGTAGCAGTAGTGTACAGAGAAGCAGCAAGACAGGATGGAGGGACACAGCTTTGAATTTTTTTTAAGAGCTCTGCCGCTAGAGTTGGTTGGCACAGAAGAAACCAAATTGCACAGCTAACCTTCCAGGATCAAAACAAGAAACTGAAAGGAAAAAACCCCAAGCCAACTTCCACAACGAACTAAATGAAAGGAATAAAGAGGGGAAAGCTAGCAGAACAGTCACATCTAATCGGGAAGGACAAACTGCCAGAGTTACAACCCCCGCCCCTACATGCGTGTCGACTCCAGCTTTGCAAAACAGCAGTATCACAGTAGCAGGGTCAGCAATGGGCTTTCTGGAGGGGGAAATACAAGCAAACAAACAAACCAAAGGTAGGATCAGTGTTCCTTCTGCAAAACAAAACGAGAAAAGAATACCGCTGAAATAAAGTACTTGTACTCCCAAACCACCCCTACCAGGCTGAGCCAGTCCCTAAGTCACCTGCAATAAGCTGCTGCTTGCCTTCTAGGAAAGCCCCATATTTAGCATCTCTCTCTCTAGCATACAAACTTGAGCACTGTGGTGCATAGGCAGAGGGGATGGGACAGAGGCAGTCAACTGCTCATCTATAGAGAAACTAGAAGTGCAAGCACACACATCTAGCACTACCACGCTCTACTTCTACAACTTCACACCGTCAGGTGCCCAGGGTTGTTTCACCTCTAGCTAGTCTGCTACTCTTAGACTACAGCTAATGGGTAGGAAGAAGTCTTTTCCACCTCCACCAGCCTAAGTGCCTTTTTAAGAGTGGAGAGAGAAAGGTTGCTTCTCCAATAAGAAAAAAGAAGCATGGCTACAGTAGATGTGGGCATAGATATGCTCTCATTACCAGACCTATCAGTGGTATTTTGCTGTCTCATCACATCACCTATCACCACCCTACAAGAAGCTTCAGTATTTTCTAGCTAGTGAAGCAAACAGTTGCTTGGCACCGCTGGGTAAGGCAATAATGCTGTAGGGAATGTATTTCCTTTATGTACCCATGATACCACCAAATGGTGTAATAAGGATTTTTCTTCTCCAGCTACATCCACGTGGTTGTGACACAAAAACTAAGACTGTCCAGCAATGAAAAGTGTGTACATAAGTTATTAAGGAAATTGAGTACAAAATAAAGGAGATATTTAAGGAAGGAGGGATCAATGGCATTACTCATATCGCTTGTAAGCCTTTGAATAAAGAAAAGCTTTGACAGTACTGTTGAGCTCAGATGGGCTAAGAAGATCACTGGGTTTTGGAGCCCTTGAAATGTCAGCACAAAACAAGAATCAGATTTTACTGAGATTTACAGTGGACCAAGTCCAAACTAAAGTTCTGGAGACCTTGAAACTGCAAATGTGGAAAAGGGGATGTGACATGATACCTTTTGTTGCTGAAAGGACCTCATATAATTTCTGATACTACCAAACTAGCAGAACCTGACATGACACTGAAATGTTCCTCCAGATCTGATTTACAGCAAAAGCAGAACCTCATTCCAACACCAGTAAATAGAACAAATGTGCCACACTACACATCAGGGAGGAATTCATCCCAACAGCAGGGAGCTGGCTTCCAGAGAGACTGTACAGTGCTGGAATATATCACGAGAAACAACTCATACAGGGAGGTGAGTTAATCAGAGAGTTAAATAGCTTCAGTCACATTTGAAAAGAAACAGAAAGAATGGAATCAAACTTACAGAAATAAATCACAGCTAAATGCATACACGGATTCACGTGCTCACTTGCCTGTGTACACACATTGCTCACTGCAGAGACTCCAGCTAAAGACTCTTCCTTCCTCAAACGACATGAAGGTCAGGTTCTGTTCACTACTTTATCTCTGTCCCTTTGCAGCCATTCCTGC